GGACACTATATTAGGTGAACTCAAGCAGACCACAGAAGATCAAATAAATTGTGATCTCACTTCTGTGTGAAGTCTCAGTCCAACTCAGAAACAGATAGTTTTCAGTGGTTTCCAGTAGTGAGACATGAGGGAAATGGGAAGATACTGGTCAAAAGGTACAATTACTGCATGGTAATTTTTAATGACACTGTAGTGCTAGAGATTTGGTAATAGATCTCAAGTGTTTTCCCAATACATAAATATATGCTAACTTTTTAGTGATGGACATATTAATTAATTTGATTGTGGTAATCATTATACATCATATATAATATCAAATTCTCACACTGTACATGCAATTTTTATCTATCAATTTTACCTCAAAAAATTGCAGGTAAAATTCTTCTGCTAAAATTTCTTTAATCCCTTCAAACTGAGGAACTTTATGCTGAGCTTCACTTTAGTTCCTGTTTTATTTACTTCTCTCCTCTCTGAGACAAAATTCCCAATACCCAAAGTTAGGAGGAAAGATTTATTTTGGCTCACAGTTTGTGGAAGTTTCAGTCCAATGCAGAGTTGCAGGGCAGTGGGCATCGCAGAGGAGAAACAGTTCACGGTGTGGCAGGCTGAAGGCAGCAGCAAGCAGCAAGCAGCCAGCCCGCCTTTCCCTTTTATCCCATCCAGGTTACCAGCCTTTTGGGTGGCGCCTCCTAGAACCACGCTAATTCCAATCAGTGGACTAATTAGTTCTGCACACCATCAATCCAGCCTCACATACCTAAATCCATCCAGCTCCAAAAAGCCCTACCGATGAGTGCATGAGGCTTTGGGGAGGGGGACGGTTAGATACAAGCTGTGACAGTTCCCATATAAATTTGTTTACTGCCTCTCCTTCTGGTCTGTGAGTGCTTTATCTTCGCATTCCTAAACTTAACACACTATCTGATGTAGAGATGCAATAATATTTGTCAAATGAATGGTTGAATAAATTATCTGATAGCTTAGAGCCCTCCATTTCTTATGATGTGATCTTTAAAATCCCTAAATATATTTTGTTCCCTTGCCAGGGTTAAAACTCATGTGTTACTTCCCTACCCACGTGCACAGACTTGTAAGGTCTTCTTTATGATTCCATCTGTGAGTTTCCTCATCAGCTGGAAGCATTTAATGTCTCTTAACTTGGAAATCTCATTCAAACTTTTTTTTGTGGAGCATTTTAAAAAAGATATTAAAGAAGTATCAATCTTTGAGTAGCTGAATTCTGTATACTTTACAGAAATCCCTAGAGAAATCCCTAGTTGACCTTACCATTTAATTCCTAGTTTGACTTGGTTTAAAATTTTAGTGTAAACAAACAGCATATGGACCTTTGAACCCATGGCATCATTAATTAAAACAAAATGAAAAAAAAAACAAACACAAATGGCATCATAACAACCTTTTGTTTAGGAGGATGGTAGTCATTAGTTTCACTTTTAACTGTGTATATTTGCTAAATTGAATTTACTGTGTGTGATAGCTGCTGCAACAAATGGTTTTCCTGCTTAATTTCTCTTACCCGAACTCTAGAACTTGCCCCTCTTTCTTCTATCCACTGTCAGCATGTATTATTTTTTGCTGTGCTTACTAATCCTGCCCTCCCTGGCAGGCTTCACAGCCCTGCTGTTTGGGGTACTAGTGCTCATTATGGATTGTGTAAGTGCCTTGGACAGAGATGACAAAGTATGGGCTCAAAAGCCAAAGTGTATGCATATTTTTAAAACTCCAGAGTTTCTACAACATTAAAGTCACCACAGTTTATAGAAAGATACACATAACCACCATCAGAGAAGAAGAAATGCCTTTTAACTTTAAACTTCTTTGCAATAATTTATGTTTAGCTTGTCACCTTTCAGAAACTACCTAAATCCTGACACTGCCATTCTGAATAACAGAGAAAAATCTATAGGCCACTTCAGAAGAAATTATATAGTAAGTTATGCTTATATTATAATATACAGAGAGTCTTCCTCAACTCTTTCTAAGTATTTATACTTTTATCTTTTTTGCTCTGAAGAGCTATACATCATTTCTAAATATTAAAAATTCCAGCACTTGGAAGGCTGAGGCAGGAGGATAGCCGTGAGTTTGAGGCCAGCCTGGATTGCACAGTGAGTTCAAGGCCACCCTGAACTATTTAGCAAGACCCTGTCACCAAAGCCAAAAAACAAACCATCACCAACAAAAATAAATAAATATTAAATATTCTCTAAATCACAATGTGATGCGTGTAAGTCATGCTATGAAATAGTAAAGAATGTGAAAAACTCTAAGACCATCATAGGAAAAAAGAATCATACTGCATACCAGTTTGATAAATGGAAGGAATAAAACATTTCCACACTCTTTCAATAATTCTTTACTCTTGGGGCTGGGGATTTAGCTCAGCGGCACAGGGCCTGCCTGGCAAGCGCAAGGTCGTGGGTTCAATTCCTGGTAGCGGAAGAAAAACAAACAAACAAAAAAACAAACAAAAAAAATTCTTTACTCTTTTCCTCAGATATTCCATTTTGGATATGCTATGTCTTAGAAGGTTGGCAGAAGCATCATTATTCTCATTTTTAAAATGGAAAAACAGACATTAAAAAAATGCACATCTTCCTCAGCTCACAGTTTTAATGACAGAGCTGAAGCTAGAACCCAGACCAAAAATAAGGGGAAAATTATAGCAAGTAAAGTAAACCACGAAGTGTCTTTTCTTGGTTAATTAGTGAGCATGAGCAATGGGTTAACAGCTCCTTCTAACTGTCTTCCCTACATCTAAAGAAGTTAATCTCTCCAATGCCTGCATGACAGCCTTCATTTTCAGAAGGGAAACAACTGAAAATATAATAGCACAAACCATTTATTACCCTCAGGCAACATTATCCAGAGACAGCAGTCTTGTGAAAGAAAAGTATGGAGATACAATCTGAAAACAGGTTTATGTATCAGCCTATTTTTTTAGTAGTCTTTTGATCTCCTTACACTAAATACCTACCTAGTTAAAATAGGACTAATTATAGAAGGCTAACTCCATTAAAAGGTGTTGTGATGATGCTATATAGAAGTACTTTATATGCTACATGATATATAAATCAAGGCCTCATTCTTCTATAGCAAATAATGGAAAATCTTTCAATGCAGGAAAGGGTATAACACGGGTGTTACGATCAGGCCTTGGGAGTTGCACTCATGGGTTATAGTAAAGAAATGGTGTGGGGTGTGGTGGTGCACACCTGTAATCCCAGCACTTGGGAGGCTGAGGCAGGAGGATTGCCAAAATTTTGAGGCTAGTCTGGGCTACACAGTGAGTTCAAGGCCATCCTGAACTGTAAAATGATATCCTGTCTCAAAAAAAAAAAA